CGGAAACCAAATATAAGGGCGGGCTTGTAATAGTTCAACTCAAGTTTTAGATAATATTATCATTCAGTTTCCGGACTCTACGCAGGGCACGCGTGAGGACCTTTGCGGTTGTTGCAGAAGGAAAGCCCATTGCAGATGCTGGCCTGGAACATAAGCATGTTTCCCTCCCAGGTTGGAAAGGTTCCTCCGCGGGAGTTCGAAGTATCTCGATAAAATTCCCAGAAAAAAAATTAGTCGTAAAAAACAGGAAAAAAAATTAGTCAGAAAAACAGTAAAATATTAATTACCAAAATATTTTTTTTTTTTTAGAAAATGTAATTGGCAATACGCTCTGAATTTTTCGGGACTCCATTTTCTTCCTGTTGTTTCCGAGTATTTTTCTTTTTTCTGAAATTATGGAGATACTTCGAAGCTCCCCCGGGAGAACCTCCAACCTGCAGTGAGCTCCCATAGGGACCTATGGTGACTCCCTGGCCAGAAAGCATACATGGGCCCCCACTGCCCCTTGCAAACCTACGCTAGCCACAACGGGGTGCCAATTAAGGATGACAGGAGAGCTGAATCGACTAATCGATGCATCTATGTGACTTAAGACAGGACTATCTCCGCCACGTGTCTTAAACCCAGAATCAACCAGTAAAAAAACTTGACTGAAACTAAAATCCACTCTCTCAAGCCAATGTAGGAGTTAAATCAAGCTCTCAATAAAGGAATGAATGTGTCTATTGTTTCAAATGCTTTCAGAAAATCAGAAAAAAATTATTCAGAAAAACAGAACAAATAAATTACTCTGAACAACAAACCAAAAAATAAATTTTCAAGTGAATGCAATACACTTCCGTACGAAACACATATTTATATATTATTAATATATATTGTTATTATTAGAGTTTTGAACCTGGTAATGTATGAACATTTGCATTTTTAATTATTCAAATGATCATTATAAAAATATAATTGCATATTATTAAGTTATATATTAAGTTTCTGAAAGAGTCCACACATTTATATAAAGTTGTTAAAATAAGGCTAGCTCGTCAGATGAAATAGCTTTTATCTAGTTGCCTTGTTTGCCTGTATTTGACATGTTTGCATCGATTGCACCTTCGCAGTGTTACTGCTCGGGCCCTAATGACGCCATATTCATGTCATATCAAAGACATTCAGTTTGCTCTCCAACATTGTGTGCGTTCAAGAACATCAGCAGGAAGTGATAACGTGTAAATTTACATTCATAAAACAATATATAACATAATAAGGTCATGGAGAGGTTAAATACTCCGATTACTGCCTATGTTTAACATCCAGTTAACATGAACAGAAAATAATAATGTACTGAAATAATGAGCAGAAGGTTTTTCAATGAGACATTTTTATTTACAATAAATCAACATGAACATTTTGTAAAATCAGCCAATATGAAAAGAGTCCAATCAACAGTTTACAGAATATGTTCTTGTTTTCTTTTGTGCAAAGCGTTTATACCACCAGATTATAACTGAACAACCTCTGATACTGTAACAGTGTTCATTACGGGTCGTTAACGGGTCGTTAACGGGCTACAGAGCGAGAGAGTGAACAGGTGTTTGTCCTACAGGTGGATGAACAGACTGAATGAACGTTGGGTTTAAGGCACGTTGAATCCAGGTTAATGTGCAGTAAAGACTGTTTCTGTCGTTTTACATGATTTCAATGCAAATTACATAAAAGTTAAAAGTTCCTTCAGGTCGCCGCTGATTTCTATTCATTTCTCTACAATGTGAAAATGAAAAGGAATTGATCCGACCGATCACAGCGGATATAATAATATATAAAGTGTCTGTAAGAACTGGGTTTTATTGGAGGGTTGTTATTGATTATAAATTGTGTGCCAGCTGTTTTTTTACACTGTGAAACCAGATATTAATTAATAACCAGAGTTAATTTAACTTAAATAAACTGATCGAGTAGTTTTCGTAATTTTAAGTGACACCGACTTAATTCTGTCATTTTTTAATTCTTAGTAAACTGAATATCTTTGAGTTGTGGACGTCACTTCGGGCTTTGGGAAACAGTGATCAAGATTTTTCTGACATTTTTTGAACAGCTAATCAATTAATTGAGATAAGGATCGACAATGACAATAATGTTAAGTGAACTGTGAAGTCCGACAAGGAAAACAGACTGTAAAATGTAGATTTCTGACAGTTACGTAACTTAAAAGCCAAGTTTAATTGCCCCTGTATCTAAATTTAACGTATTAAAGGTGGACTATCTGCGCAAAACCACCAGTAAAGTCCTGAAAACAGCCTCCATTAATAAAAGAAACCCTCGCTGTCGCCCTGTTTTGAGCTACTGTGGTACTTTTATCGGTAGAACCTGAGCGCAGAGCGGCAGTCGGGCCGTCTAAACCAGGAAGACCTCGAAGGATTAAACAACCGTGATTAAGAGTGGATGAAGAGAGCAGAAGGTCCAGAAACTCTGCTGCTACGTATCCCAGAGTGTAGAGGAAGTTCGATTCCCAGTCGACAGCCGACTGATGTTTGGCTGTTAGCAAAGACTCGCCATATTTACCAGCGTGGGACAACTGGAGGCAACAAATCACAAACAAATCACAAATCTTACATAATGTTGCTTTAAATGTCTAAATATTATAATCTAAGGTTGACTCCAAGGTCCAGTGTGTAACACTGAGGAGGATCTATTGTCAGACATTAATGGAATATTCATAGGTGTGTTTTCATTAGTGTGTAATCACCTGAATATGGGAACTGTTACCTTAGAACGAGCTGTTTTTATCTATTATTGATCCCACTGCCTTCAAGGACTCGGATTGGTCAGGCGCCCAAAAAGTTGTGAAACTGTCTATTTTACCCCAAACTTTCCTAAACATAACAATTTTACTGTCTAAACATAAAACGTGTTGAACTGTAGGACACTGACGCTGTTTCTCCCTCAGGTTTGGAAGTGGAGGGTGAAGCGAAGGAGTTGCATGCAACTCTCTAGATGCCACTAAATCCTACCACTGGACTTTAAGAGATGATTCATAACTGACTGATATTTAAAGAAATGAAACTCAAATTAGCGCTACATGACGTCTCTAACTAACAATTACTGTAAAACATCTGGGTTAACGCTCGCTGTCCACAACGGAAACACGAAAAGAGTCAACTGCAGAAAGAAGTTCCAAACAAACGTTCAACCGATTCGTCTACATACTTAAGTAAAGTCAATAACTAACATCAGTCTTGCGAGGTCCGTGTCCCTTTCCAGCAGAGACGGCAATAAACTTTAAGGCAAACGTGTCCGGACAGTAACGTGACCTCGTCAGTTTACAGACGTTCGTCGAGGCCCAGGAACGGTAGCTCGTGAGTCCTGGATGGATGATCCGGGTTCCACACGAAGGCAACGTGCCTCCGGCTGATTCTGAAAGAACGCTGGTAGGAATAACTTCTGTCCGCCCCCCCCCCCAGGAAGAAGCTTCTGGATGGCTGTAATCCAGGAAATGAATCCTCTGGGAAGTATTGCACACATTCTTCCCTTCAGCTGTTACAGACCGCCGTTGTAGGCGTAGTCCGCCTTGTTGTGCATGATGAGTTTGTTGTCCACAAAGTAGAAACTGTCTGATCTGGTCTCGTAAGGGTGCGCCACCATCTGGCGAACTGGAAGGGAAGAAGGAAGATGTGGATTAATAGGTGGAAACAGCTCGTCAGCGGCGGCGGCGGCGGATTCAAACAGAGCAGAACTTACTGAGCTCCTCTGGAAGCTGTGGGAACTCGTAAATGTGTTCACATGTGTTGCGGCTGTTGGGGATGCAAAAACCAAAGTCAAAGTCAAAGTTCTTGAGCAGGCGTCCCTGGAAGTAATGCCTCTCTATCATACGGAAGCTGTTGATGGGCCGGTCGCCCACCGTGAACTCCACACTGCGGTTCAGAGAGAGAGGAGACATTCAAACAAACAGGCTGACTCTTAAAAGGACGAACAGAAAGGATTATGAGTCTCTCGTCTGCAGCTCGTCGCTCCGTTTACTCACGTCGCTCCGACTGTACACAGCTTTAGGAAGGCCGGAGTGAACTGATAGCGCACAAAGCGTCCCGCACTGGTGTCCACGTCTGCTCCGTCCTCTTCACCGTCCACAGCACCTGACGCAGGAAACACCCACAGGACAGATTATAGTGAGCTGTAGAAGTGTCAGTCGTTAGAAAAGAGACTAAAGGTGGAATAAAGCATCTCCGTTCTTATATTTATAGTTACACACATTGTGTTTTCTGTTATTGTCGACATACGAGACATTTTGTGTCACATATACGTTTGTTTCATTGAGGAGATGAGTTATTATATTGATTACAAACTTAAAGAAGATTACTTTAATATATTGATCAACAGTTGATTCATTCAACCCTGAATACGATCTCTATTAATCATTTTAACCAGCTCAAACTGGAGCCACAGCGTCTGTGGGTATTTATTTACACTCAGTGCTGCTCAAAGGTTTGTGAATTCATGTTTTTTAGGTTCCCCAGACTAAAGTGTGGTTACTACAGTCTCCCCGAGGTCCTCTGAGATCCCTTTTCCTCTCGGCTAGAGCTGCACGATGTGTTAAAAACATCATATTGTGATTACTTTGACACATGTGAGTCACAATTAGTGTGTGAATTATCATTTCTGCGTCACAACTTTAATTTTCACTGAAACAAAGGAATAAACTCAGACCAGGGCAGCTGTTTGTCACACAGTGTGGAGGAGGCGTGGCTGCAGTCGACCCGTCTACTCACCGCTGTTGGGAGGTTTGGCGATCTCGAACAGCACCGTTCCCGTTTCCAGATCTCTGATTTTAAAGCGTGTGAAGTCGATGTTGTAGATGTTGTCCTCGGGTTTGCACAGATAGTCTGAAATGTGACACAAACAACCAGCAGGTGAATCCGTAAGAACTCATCAGATTCACCGATAAACGAGGAAAAGTCACGAGATACTCCGGAGCTCGGAGACCTGAGATCGGACTCCACGAGCAACTAGAGTTTCAGTGTCTGCTTTCTGCCGCGGCGGTGAGTAACGCCTGGAGCCGCTCGCCACCGCGCAGTGAGGGAGGAGGGAAGCAGCCCCATTGTCGTCTGCTCCGAGGAACAGAGCAGAAACAATGGGGGGCATTATCGAGCCGACTCATGACTCAGAGGGGTTGAAGGGGCAGTGAGCGGCCGGGGTGGAGGGGGGCGGTAATATTCAGGGAACAGAAAGAGAGAAAGAACGTGTTCGGCCTCTCTGCAGCATCTTATCGACCTCGAGAGAATCTGTGAGGTGGACGCAGACAAACAGCTTCATTAACACGTTATCTCGTTACATTACGTTTCCCTCTCTGCTGCTTCGTATTCACACACTCGTAAGAAACACTTCCCTTCGCTTTGTTCTTATCTCCGACACATTGTGTTGTTCTTATTCTCCTTTTCACTTCCTGTTTTTAACCTTCACAAACTCGATTGTTCTTGGCACGACTCTTTTATTTGTTGTTTTATTTATTTATAGTCTCTTCACTCGTGTAAATAACTTTGAGCTACATCCTCTGTCGGAAACTGGTCACATAGATAAATGATATTATTATTATTATAGCAACAGAAGATCAGTATCTGCTGATATTCACCTTGTTTACTGACATCAATCTATTGGTAAATAAGATTTACAGATATCAGTGAGAAATAAAACAAAGCAGCTTATCTGTGTAGATTTATTAGTTTCTCAGCACTAAAGGCCGAATAAATAACTACACAAATATCTGCCTGGTTGTTATTTTAAACATCAGCTCAGAAAAATGTGTTTAATTCAGAATATTATTGATTTAGACTTTTTAAAAACAGGTTTTAAAGGAGCAGTGTGGAGGATTTAGTGGCGTCTAGCAGTGCAGATTGCAACTGACTGAATACCGCTCGCGTCTGTATTTGAATGAGAACTACAGTGGCTGCAATAAAACACAAAAGCTCGTAATGTTTGGTTTGGTGGCTCCTTCTAAATAAAAACAGCTCATTGTAATGTCACTAAAACATAATTATACTCATATTCAGGTGATTAAACGCTAATAAAAACATATTAATGAAGATTATATCCTGTAAATTCACTGTTGTCTGTTTATTTCTGTCTTTTCTATCCACTCAGTTAGAAGTGTGCACTGTTTATGTATGTTTTTTGTATACTTTAAGTGTTATTTAGAGGACTGAAATTTCCTCTGCGCTGTATGTCGTGTATGTATAACAGATTTAACAAATAAAGCTGACTTTTGACTGTTTTTATATTATATTTCCTCAATGTTTCACACTGGAGGGGGCTGATAATAACCCTTACAGGGGCTCAAACTCCTTGCTACGCCCCTGGGTTCATCCTAATGCAAAACAAACTGAAAAAAGACAAATTTAACACAATTAATCAGTATTTTAACTACATTTAACGGACTTATTAATCCAAAAAATCGACATTTAACCACATTTATCTTTGAGTAAATAAAACCAGGCGAGCTGTGTTTATTTTAAACCGACTTTAGTTCAGTTTAACTTCTATATAACACATATAACTCACCCTGGGTGACGGCCCGGAGCCCCAGGACGTGGTCCGGGCTGATGTCGGTCCCCAGAGCCCGGAGCTCGTCCTCGGTCACCGCGGGACATTTATCCGCCTGACTGCGCCTCGACTTCAGCTTCTTTAACATTCCTCCGCCGCTCTTTCGCTCCCGGTGGTTCGTCGTCTCCGCGCCGGCGTCCGCGTCCGTGTGAGCTCTGCTGACAGTCGGCGCCGGTTTGTTCCGTGAGCCGTTCATTACCGGGACCGGGGATGAAGAGTTGTTCTGGTTCTCGATCCGGGAGGAAGAAGAGGAAGAGACTTCTTCACTCACTGCGGGTTTAGTTCAAGATGGTGGAAGAACGCGTACAGGAGACGGGAAAGCTCGATGGTGATTGGCTGAGAGCGGTGGCGATTGTCATAGTTACCGCAGGGGTGTGAGCGGTTTACAGCCCGGGAACTCCCGCTTTCTTCGTCAACTCGGTGTTTAGTGTCACTTTAACGTGTTAGCAGTAAATTAAACATTTTTATCAAATATAAAACATCTTATCTTTTTTATCTTCCTAATATATTAAGATTAAGTGTTTTTGTTTTCCGTTAAACCGTCTAGATGTGTTAATAAATAGACTGCGACTATAAATTCGTGCTGCGCAGTGTTTGTAGCCAAGCGCACCCAGCAGCGCCGTTACTGTCCGGTGAGCGGCGCTAGTTCTCCGGTAGCTGCTCGGTTTGTTGACGGAAGTTCCCGCGGAAGAAGAAGGAGCCGTGATGGTGCGGGTGAAGTCGAGGTAACGTGGTTTTCCTGTCACATTATGTGTGTTTACCGTCGGTTTCTGCCGGTTTCTGACGGTTCCCGCGCTCTGCCGGCAGGTATTTACTGTGCGAGGTGAACGTGTCGGAGCGGAGCCGCCTGCTGCTGCTGGACGACCGGGCGGTGTCAGCGGCGGTGAAGGCGGCGGTGTCCCGGATACACGGAGACTACGGAGCGGCTCTCTGCAGCATCAGGTTCAGCGGTAAGAACCGCTGCAGGAGGTCTTTATTTATTTAATTCACTTCGTATATAATGTTTAAAAACTCTCTGAAACAGTCGCGTTATATTTTCATTAATATAAAAGACAATTACAAAAGCACAAGTTAGTTTAGAGTATGAGAGCCAGACTAAGAGACATTTGAAATTATAATATATTACAATTTTATCATAACATTACGAGAAAAAATAACATTACTAAAATAAAGTCAAAATATTGTGAGAAAAACTCGTATTATTACGAGAAAAAAAGTCATAATATTTCGAGAAAAAAAAGTCATAATATTACGAGAAAAAATCAAATGATATTTCGAGAAAAAAAGTCATAATATTTTGAGAAAAAATCATAATATTTTGAGAAAAAAGTCGTAACATCGGAAAAAAATCCTAACATTACGAAAATAAATCATAATATTGCGAGAAATAAAGTCGTAATTCATGAAGAACTGTTAGCCTGTTGGCTCAGCCAGCAAAACGATTTAACGACGAAAATGATCAAGAATAATTAATGTATTTTTGGGTATCCTAATCTGACAACGTATTATTAGGTATTCATTTATTGTAATTTTTCCTCTTAGTATGGCCCTAATACTCCATCGTAGTTAATAACTACATGTGGAAAAAAATAAAATAAATAAATACATTTTGGTCATCAAAATGAATATTTCTGTATTTTTACATTTTGTTTTTTATTTCTACATTCATTCATGTATTTTATTTATATATTATATATATTTAATAATTATTATTATATTTAATACAAGTAAAAAGTCACCTGTCTCTCTCTGACCAATCCTGCTTCAGACTGATGTTGGCACCACACACTCAGTTTACATACTGATACAGAAATAAATCAGTATATACATGTAGAAATAAATACATTTAAAAACATACTAATAAATAAATGAGAATGTAGAAATACAGAAATAAATAAATACATGTAAAATGTATAAATAAATGTAAAAATATATAAATAACTGTAGAAATACAAATATATTATTTTTCATGACCGAATTGTATTTATTTTTCATTGATTTATGTTTAGTCATTTATTTGTGCTTTTTTATTATTATTTTCATCTTCTTTTTTAAATTTTATTTTATTATTAACTGCAGCCATTAACTATCTTTTGTTTTATTTTGCTATATGAACAAATAAAAACATCATATGTTATCTATAACAATGCATCATATATATCTATATATCTACAGAGCAAGTAGTAACAAAGCTTTCTGATAGATGTAGTTGAGTAAAAAGTATAATATAAATCCTTCTTACATATGCAACATATGTAGGAATATTTAAATTAGAATAAAATAGAAATAAAACAGTATATAAAGTTACTTGTTCCACTCAGACAGTATGTGTCAGTGTAAATTACATTACTCCAGTATAAATGTATAAAAGCTGTTTGTGACATACATTAGGAGAGCTTTAGTGCTGATAATATTATAGTGGACTCACAGATCTCTCAGTGCTTTCAGGATAATGTGTTGACTGAGCTCTTTGTGGTCTCTCTGTTTCTCTTCAGTGAAATATGTGAACGCTCACACTGGAACAGTATTCCTGCGTTTCCCCAAAAGGTGTTACAGACTCCTCTGGTCTGCGTTGCCTTTCATCACCAGTATCGAAGCCTGTGGGCAGAAAATCCCCTGTTTTCTCAACTGTTTGCATGTGGGAGGTAAGAAAACACACGAAAACCCAGACACATACACTTTAACAGTCTTAAATATCATTCAGAGATTAATTAAAGGTATTTGTTTCCTCCAGGAACAATCAGAACGTGTCAGAAGTTTCTGATACGATACAACAAACAGCAGCTCCATCGAATGCTCCCTAAATGTAAAAACAAAGGTAAAGGAATTACATTAAAGTTACTTGTGTTTTTTAACTCTTCAGTCATAAAATCCCCAAATTAAAGGTGCTATATGTTACTTTTATTTAACTTTAGTTCACAGCAAACACTAGTGGCCGTTAGGTGAACTGCAGTCAGCGTCGGCCAACAGCGACAAACACTGNNAACTGACAATCATATTTATAATAACGTTACTGTCTGCAATGTTCATATATTTTCTTTGGAAATTGAAAATCAACACAGTTTGTCAGAATACTTCAGTTAGTATTGAAACATTTCTGAATGTTTGTTTTGCAGTTTATTAAACACAAGATGCACAAAACTGACAAACGTTTGACTCGTTCCTTTCCCCTTTTTTTTCATGTAGAAGAGGAAGAACAGATTCGCAGAGAGATTCTGAACTGTTCCCTAAAAGGAGGAAACCAGGAAGGATTTGAAGATGGATCAGAGAGCGAGGAAGATGAAGAGGAGTGACGTCACCGCCTGCAGTAACAGAGGGCAGCAGTCTGTAGACGTCTGAGAGAAAGGAGAAACTGACAGCTGTGGAAATATTGTTAACGTCAGCTGATCCATCCTCCACGGAGACAGAGGGACACATTATGGGATGTTTGTCACACTCTGGGCTGGTGGTCAGTAAGGTCACATGTTTGATCCTCAGAAGATAATTACTGAATATTGAAGTAATATCTCTGAGTTGACCCTTTTTGCTCTGTGGTCCAATCACAGTTGAGAAAGCCTCATTCAACTTCCTTCTTTCCTGTACTTAAATATGCTACTAGTAGGCTAATCTATGTTAAAAAGACAGTTAAAAGATAAAAGTGACACATGAAGTCGCATCTTTAATTAACTAATGTTGCTAATGTGTTCATCACTTAAATGCCGCAGTTGTTACTCGACTGTTACTGGAGCACAGAGAAGGTTCAGTTATGAGGAAACAGAGTTTTTATGTTTTATGGAATTTATTTTGTATTTATATTATCTTTTGTGCTAATTAGTAGTTTGTTTACAAATTAAAGCACTATTTTTCAAGATAATCGATGTGTCATGGTGTCCTAAAAATAGACTTTTGCACACAGTTATGTAGAACAACAAGATCCAAACATGAACTAGACTGGTGGAATACAGTAAAGTGAACATATATAAAGGAAGAGGAATATATATATTTATCTATATGTAGATGTACATATATAAATATATATGTAAATATATATTTATATATAAAAATATGTATGTATATATAAAGAAAGAGGAATATATACATTTCTATCTATATATACATATATAAAGAAACATAAATATATATCAATATGTAAATATATATATATATTCCTCTTTTTTGAACAATGTAGTTTACAAAATTAAATTTGTAAACAACAAACAGTAGAAAATTATACATATACACAAGCCTCCAGTGTTAGTATTTGTATATGTATATATATATATAAAATATATCTTGTGAATGACTAATGGTAGACAACAGGAAAAAAAACCAACAGTAAAGTCCGTTTAAAGCAATAATGAATACTGATTTCTGGAGTTTCTCACCAGAGAAAAAGAGTTAATAACCATCCTGCCAAATTTAAATTATTTAAAATAAATCTCAGTTTATGAAATGAGGCTTTAAAAAGAGTAAAATTAGCAGTTTTATGAGCTGTAGTCCAACCTGTACCTTCACAACTACACTTCCCACAATGCCTAGCGGCGGTAATCATATTTGCAAACGGTAGAAGAAACATCCGGGTCCCTCAGGTTCTTGCTTGGCGACCCGTCGCCATTAGTGCAAGCTCGTTGTCTCGGATCTGTTTTTGTGGTGAAAAACCTTCAAACCGGTGAAGTTTTCCTGCTCCGGGGAACATCACGGTGCTTCTACCGGGCACGTTGTTTTCTTTAACGTGTTAAAACCGTGAACTCGGCGGGTGTTGGCCCCGCGTGGCGAGCCGCCGTCCTCTCCTCCAGCAGGCTCCACAGTTTGAGACGCATTTGATCGTGTCTCTTCTTTCTCCTTCGGTTGGTTTACTGTCAACATGTCGCCGTGATGGGTTCTCCGTGTGTCTCAGAAATGAACCAGGGCCTCCGCCGCCTGACCCGCACTCACTGCCGCCCGTTTTCCTGCTCCGTGTCCCCGTTTGATGCCCGAGAGCTCGGCGGCTCTCTGCCCGCCGCTCGGCCCCAGCAGCAGCGCTCCCTGCCCGGGTACAACCATGGAGAAGAACCCGAACAGCTCCAGCACCAAGGTCCCGCCCCGATCCAGCTCCACAGGCCCGGTACCGGGAGAGACTAAACCCAAAGCAGGTGAGCGGAACCGGTGAGCCCCGTTAATTCATAAACAGTCTGAAAAACACCGTTAAATAACAGTCTGTAAAACACCGTTATAATAAACAAGCGGTAAAACATCCGATCTTAATATCAATTTCGTAACACCGTTAATATCATGTCATGATAAAACACCGTTAATTATCAGCCGGTAAACTATCCGTTAATATCAGTCTGTAAACACCGTTAATACATCAGTCTGTAAACACCGTTAATACGCCTGGTATACCACACTGATGGGAAGATTTATTCGAGCCCATATGATAACAGCACCGTCTAATACAAGTCTGAAAAACCGATATAAAATAAATTCAGATCTGTAACCACGTAAGTATATCAGTCTGTAGAACACCGCTTAATATCAGGTCTGTGGAATATACCGTTAATAACAGCGGTATTAACACCGTTCATATACAGTCTGTAACACCGTTAATAAGTCTTGCCCGGGTAATAAAACTCGTTTAAAATTTGACAGTCTGTATAAACACCCGTTTAAAATAACAGCCTGGGTATAACACGTATTAATATATTAGACACAGAGTATTCAGACCACCGTACTAATCATGTACCTGGTCTTAGTATCACACCGTTAAAATATTCAGTTGCTGGTACCAGAACACTCGGTTTAATTTCATGTTTTTGGTCAAACCTCCGTTTTAAATAGATAACAGCTGTAATCAAAATTTGGATGAACATAAACAGCCCTAGGTATAACATCACCGTATAAATCAGCATTTAAATGGTTAGATATCCAACTGTAACTTCAGATGACTCAGCAGGTAAAAACGTTAATAGAATAACAGATCTGTTGTAAGCATACTCGTGTTAATTATAACTAG